CGGCCAGTCTGCTACTTCTGTAGTGCTTTTTCTTCTCCATCCTGTGCCCTCCCTTCTTGGCACACTCATGCCACCCCCTTTAAACACAGCCCATGCAACTGCCCCAGATGTATTCAGGTAGGAACCCACTTGTATCTGCAAGCTGCAGGGACTCCACATGCTGAAGGCACCTGCAAACTTTAAACTTGGAGCTTCCAAGCATCCTTCCAGACACCCCATCCTTGTCACTTCATTGCTAATCAAAGGGCAGGACTGTCTCAACACCTTCCAGTGTCAGGTTTAGCAGAACACTGTTTTCTGTTGTGGCCTTCCCAGTTCAAACACATTAATTATGGTCCCAGCAACCTGTCTGGGTGCACTGGAGCAAATGCAATTGCTGGGCCAAGCGCTGGGGAAGAGTACAGCAGAGCCCGTTCCAGTCCCTAGCTCCTTCTGCATGATGCAATGCCCAGCAGTTTCTCTAAGGTAACCGAGCAAGAGGTTACTTAGAAGCTGGCCAGTCCCTTAAATGACTAGTGTTATATCAAAAATAAATACAAACAACCTTTCTATCCATCTGTACTTAACCTTACCTTGCTCAATCAAGTTAATGCCTCACTGGCTGAGGACAGCGATAAGAGCAGGCAGTAAATCAGCCCTGTTCTTGCTCCACACTCACTGGAAGAAACTACAGAGCACTGTGGGTACAGGCCTTTTGCTCCTGCTTAGCTGGGATTGGGGTCCCCCCCTTCCCAGGACTCCTCACCATGGCACATGCCAGCATGTGAAGGGCAAAGCACAGCAACACGCACCACAACAGCAAGGCTGAACTCCCTGGCCAGCGTCTTCAGCTCCCTGGCTAGCTGCATCATGATGGCCAAACCTGGAGGAGGACAAAGGATTTGGGTGTTTCAGGAACAACCCTAAAAGCACTTCTTGGAAGCAGGTGACATCTATATTTGCATGAGCACAAGATTTAGTGCCAGTGCTAGTGCTCATAGACACTTACAACCCATTGCCATTATCAGCACCCACTGCACCTGCAACTACCAGGGCACTCTGGCCCAATGGATGTGGCATGGCCAGACCAATCCCAAAGTTGTCCCACCACCTCCTTCCCCATCCTAGAAGCCCTGAGGTCAAAAAACCCTACGAAAGCACCAGGAGATCCAAAGCTGGCCAGGCTGATTTAACAGGTACAGGGCCCATCTCTCCAGCTCACAGCTTCATTTCCTACAGCCCATGGCTCCTGTGATAGCCCTGCCTGCCACCCAGGTCTGCAATACCCTCTGGAAGGTGTATGAGGGGCCTCCTTGGCATCCCAGCCAGCAGGAAGCCCCTCACTCCTGATTTATGGTCCTTTTTGGCAGAAAGAGCCCCAGGGTTGCTTCGCGAACCACACCAGCAACCACAATGTACTTGCAACACTGTAAGTAGAGGTTTTAATCCGTGGCCTCCTCTGTCCCCTGGCTGGGTTTCAGACCACCCACATGAGCCTGCATGGCCACAGCCAGCTTGAATGTTTGCTGGTAACACCACAGACAGACTCCCCTTTATATGCAGTAGCAAAGGAAAAGCTGGGAGCTGTGGCACACACATCCGTCCTGCCCCATCACACATGGAAGATGCTCTTCAGGATGAGCAGAGATCTGCAACCTTACTGCACATCCCAACGAAGCAGCTCACCCTCTGACTGCTTCCCACCCAGCAGCGGGTAAATCACAGCCGAGACAGAATCGATCACCACGATCTTGAGAGGACCCATGGAGCTCACAACCTGAAAGGAGGAGGCACCATGTGGAGTAACACATCCAGCAGTTCTGGAGCTCATGAGCTGCACACAGGCTCAGACATCCCCAGGGCAGGGTGATGTGGTGTCACTCATCAGGCACACAAGCCCTGCTGCTCCCAGTGCAGCTCTGGGGAAGGGAGAGGGGCCCGGTCCCTTGCTCCTACCTGCTGGGAGAGGCGCTCCCGCAGCTCCTGCAAGGCGCTCAGCATCTCATAGATGTCAAACACACGGACCACCTGGATCCGCTGCAGAGCCTCCAGCTGCAGCACAAAGTGGCATCACCAACAGCCTCACCCCACCAGGATTTGTTAGAGTCCTCCTGTCCCAGCTGCTACCAGGAGCCAGGAACCCTTATTTCTTCCACATTTGCCTCCACCCCATGAATACTCTCATCCCCATGGCACTGACAGAAGCAGCAACACAGATTATGCTCATGGAGCAAAAGTGTAAGCAAGTACAGCAAGTCTTCTCCTTCTGCCTAAGAAAAGCATCTAAAGTACAGTGTCTGTGCCTGAGCACAGCACCCACCAAACCACGGGAGGAAGACTGTGGATCCAAAAAGCCCATGGGGATGACAAAGGCAGAGCTGGACAGACAAACCATCTCTGGGGGTTGTCTGCAGGCAAGAGCCAAGTGCGAGTGGAGGCCTCAGCTCAGGGGAACTTGCCTGCTCTTCCTCTTCCTCTGCCTGGGCTCGGAGCATCTGGTGGAGTCGAGAGGCAGTGAACCCCCCCGTGGAGTCGAGAAACAGGACGTGCTGCTTGAGGCCAAGAGACACGCTGGCTGCAATGCCCAGGCACACCTGGAGAGGCAGGGAGGTCAGCCAGCCCCCCCAGGCCCCTCTGCTTCACATGCCTGAAGGCATCATCTTCCTCCTACCTGTCCTCTCCTTCATCCCACTCACCTGCGTCTTCCCACTGCCCGGTGCCCCCATGAGCTCCGTCACTTCCCCTGTGTACAGCCCGGAGTCCAGCAGCTGGTCCAGGCTATGGGATGAACACAGGGTGGGATTATCAAATCCCCTTCAATGGCAGGAGCAGCAATCCCCGGGTGTCTGCCCCTAGAGCCTCCTTCCCAAATGCAGACGAGTGCCCCAGCCCCTGCTCCTTCCCAGCACATCACCACATTGCGATTCAAAGCCTGTGCTGGGGAACCATGGCCATCTGCAGCAAGCCCAGCCCTGGGCAGACCTGCTGGCTCACCAAGCAATCACCCACCTGGGGCTCCCGGTGGGCAGGATGGCCGTGGAGCTCTTGAGCTCCTCATAGAGGTCTGCTCCATTGGCGGGGAAGGCAGAGAACTGGGCCAGGAGCACCCGTCTCACCGCAACCAGTGCCTGGTGGGCAGAGAGATGCCTGGAAACAGGACTAAGGAAGTCTGGGGACAACACCATGCTGTAGGAGGTGCCCCCAGGAAAACCCATCCAAGTAGGAGCTGAGCAGCTCTGAGCTCCGCAGCAAACACAGCAGGACTTGGGAGTCACCCTTTACCTTGTAAGACAGGGAACACTTCTGGGCAACGTCCTCCAGGTCTGATGACACGAAGTCCACCACTGCAATAACATGAGGAATGAGAAGCTGGCAGCCAAACCTGGACACATCATGAACACTAAAAGATGGCCAGCAAGATAAACCTGCCTGCACCCACAGGCAAAACGTCTGCACCCTCTGGCAACGCTTCAAGTGGGTGAATTGGATGCCCTACACAACGTAAACCTGGAGATGGCCCCACTGCCCACTGCAAAACAGATCAGGGAGAGAAGATGGTAAAAACCCTGCCTCTTCTGCTCAAGAGCTGCCCAGCACCATTTGATAACTGGGGCCAGCCAAGAGACTCCCCTTCTGCCACAGCCTCAAGGGGCTACTGACTGACCCAAAGCGCCCGGAAGAGCTAAAGCCCCAGGGATTAGAGCTGGTGGCCCCATCTCTGCTCTCAGGAACCACTCCAAGATCGCTCTTTTCAGATAAATGTGTTTGTTATTGGTTTAAAACAAGTCAAAAGCAATTCTTAAAGGGAAAACAAGGGTTACAGCATCCAGGGCGCCAGCAGCCACGGGATCGCACAGGCTCCAAATAACAAGCACAGAACAGTGATTTCCCCAGCTCTAATCCAGTCTGAACAAGTCAAGAACTCACCCCAAATCTCTTCCTTCCCCCTAAGGGCAGGAGGTGCCCAGGGTGCAGCCTGCCAGCAGAATGGGCATTTTTCAGAGGGAAAAACACACAAACCCTCCTAAAATACCTTCCAAAAGCCTCTACAAGAGCCCTGCCACATCCTAACGCTCTCCTGCTTCTATGGACAAGTCCTGACTGCCCAGGCTGGCAGACGGGTCCTGCACAGGGGGAGGGCCTCCCCAACCCGAGACCCCACTGCCCCCCGTTACCCGTTTGGATGCTGTTCGCCCTGAGAAGCTGGATCATCTCCTCGGTGAGACCAGGGCAGAGCCCAGCCCGCAGGACCACCATGTCCTCAGGCACCCCAGCAGGGAGAGCCACGGGGCCAGGGAAGGAGAGACCTGCGGAGGAGATGGGAGAGGAGATTTGGCACCATCCTGACACTGAGCATACCCGCAGGCGCTGGGGAGATGCTGCCGAGGCTGTGTCTGGGATGGGTGAGCACAGCGAGTGTTCAGCATCCCTCAGCACGGAGCAGTGCGAGCTCCTCCAACCCCGAAGGTACCTCCCGAAGCAGGGCTCCCGCTCCCTGCCCGTTCCCCTTCCTGCTTCCTGCCGGCAGCGGAAGAGCCGGGCAAGGGATCCGGTTGCTTGCCCGTGTGTCGGCCCCACACCGGGGTCCTGTCTCCCGGTCCTCCCCTCGTCCTCCAGCCGCTGGTACCCAGGGATGCTCGTGGAAGCACACAGAGCGGTTTCCATTGGTACCGGCGGGGAGCAGAACGCGCTCAGAAACGGAGATAACAGGAACCAGAAATGGGAATTTCCCCTTATTTATTGCAGCTCCCCCTCTACCAGCTGCCTTTAAATGCCCTTAGCACAGGTGCTCGGCAATGCTGCAGCCCCTCAGGCTCTATAGGTAACAGCCCCACAGGCTGGTGTGGGTTGTTTGGGAAGCAGATGCTGTAGCTGCGGGGGATAAAGTAAGCTAGTTTATGAATGGAGCAAGGCAGAAGTAGGAGGAAGAGGTGAAGCTGCTTCAGCTTTCTCTCACAGAGCTCTGAGTGTGGTTTGTTTCACTTCTAAAGCCATAGTTTGTAGGTAGAGCTGGGCTCTGCTGCTGGTGTGCCTGAGCAGAGCCATGAGCCCTGCAGAGCTGGTGGGGACCGAGTCCTTGCTGTGAGAGCTGCTGATGTGAATGGGGAAAACAGCTTTCGTTATGATGTCTGTGCTTATTTCAGAGCTGAACCTGAGCTCTGTGCAAGCCACGAGTGGGTTTCCAGTGGGGCGGGCTCCCAAAGGCCCCGTGAGGAGGAGGTAGTGTGGGGGGTGAGCTGGCTTTCCATCCCAGGGTGTTCTGGAAGGTGCTGGTGCTGCTGCAGCTGCTGGCATGGGGCCGCTTGTTCCCGAGGCTCAGCTGTCTCATGCTTCCCTAAATAGAAAGGGAGAAGGGTCTGAGCACTGTGGTGGGGGTCAGCCCTCCCGGCTAAGGGCTTCTATGGCATGAACCCCCCCATTCCTGCTCCCCACACTCCGTGCAGCTCTGCAGGTAGAGGGAAGCTGGGGTTTGCTTGCAGAGGTGGCAGAGGATCCCCTCTCCTGTAGATAGGGGCTGCGTGCTTGCATGCAGGGCCCCCCCGAGCAGGGCTGCTGACAGGGGCCGTTCCCAGGCAATATATAGCACAGGGGGACAGGCTGTGGTGACAGGTGACATTGACAGGCAGCAGGAGCTGCCAGGTCCTGCCCAAACTCGGAGCGGGAGGCGAGCTCTTTGCTGGGACACATAGGCTCTCTGTGGCACCGGTGGGCTCCAGTTCTTGTTCTCTTATTAACTGAATCCTAAGGATCTACAGCCGTGGGATAAGCTGCTGTGAAGCTACAGCCTTGACCGTAGGTCTTCACTTTCAAAGCCCTTCAGCGTGGTAAGCTGCTTTTATTAATGTGGGTGTTCATTATGTGTCAGTGTTCTGGTGGGGTGGGCAGGCGGCCCCGGTGACACAGGCAGTTGGAGTGGGACACAAATCGATGCTTTTCCTTCAAGCTCTCCAAATGGAGGATCCCATCCAGCTGAAAGAGGAGGGCAATCAGTACTTTCAGGCCAATGACTACGAGAAAGCTGCTCAAAGCTACACTCAAGCCCTAAAGCTCAACAAGGACAAGGCGCTGCAGGCGGTGCTGTACAGGAACAGGGCAGCGTGTTTCCTCAAGAAGGTGAGGATTGCTCCTGGTTTGCCTGGGCTGTGCTCAAGGGGAGAAGAGCAGGGAGGCAGCCCAGGGTGCTCCCGTGCTGTGGGCTGTGTGTTTTGTCCATTGATTGAATAGCATGTTTCAACTGGTCTGAAGTGGTTTGTTCTGGGCTTATTCTGGAACTGTAAAGCTGCCTCCCTGCTTCAGTCCTGATGGTTCACGTCAGAGAGGGTCTCACATAATCACTTTGAAGCAAAAGCTGTTTGGCAGCCATGGGAGCACTGTAAGCCATGGGTTGGGATGTGGAGGCATTGTTCTTGCCATCCGTCCCAGAACAAAAGAAGCAAAAGTCAGTATTTAGCAAACTGAGTTATTGGTATCTGTACCAAAACTGCCTTGGCTCCCTGCAGCCAGCTTGTAGTGACCTGCTGTGGGGTTTTAGCAGATCTCTTGCATATGCTTGGGTTTACACTAACCCAGAAGAAACACCCACTCAGAACAAGCTGCAGACAGGCTGTTGTGAGTGTCCCCTCTGCCCTCACTGCCCACTATCTGCTGCTACAGCAGCATATGTTGTCTCACCTGCATCAGTCACCTTTTCCTCTTCCATCAGTGATGAGAAGGTACCCAAGCCCCCATCTTTCCTGCTGTAACTGCTGCTGGCTTCACTGAGGTGTTCTATGGGAACACAGAGGTCTCAGAGTGTGTCAGCAATGGGGACATGCCCTGCTATTCCAGTGCTAACAGATCTCTCTCTTGCTGGTTTAACAGGAGGAATATGCAAAGGCAGCCTCAGATGCATCTAGAGGTAAGGAGGGGGCTGTTTTGAGAAGGCAGAGCTGCATTGGTGGGTGTGCTTCAGCCAGCTCTCACATCTGGTTTTGGGGTTCTGTGGTCTTATTCCTTCATGTCCATTAACACCCAAGTGCTGAGGCCACAAGGGAATTAATGGAGGGGGTTGAAAAGAAGATGCACCGATTTGTTCTATTGGAGCTAATCCACAATAACTGCATCTCAAAGAGCTGTAGTCACTGTAAAGCAAATCACAGTTTACACAGGTTATTTCCATGGCTGGTGTTTTGGATCATTCTCCTAGCTATTGACATCAATTCCTCGGATATCAAAGCCTTGTACCGGCGCAGTCAAGCTCTGGAAAAACTGGGAAAATTGGACCAAGCATTCAAAGATGCTCAGAAATGTGCCACCATTGAACCCCGCAACAAAAACTTCCAGGAGACCCTGAGGCGACTGGGAGCCAACATCCAGGAGAAGGTAAATGCCAGGGAAGCAGTCCTGGGTTCACAGACCAGGCATGGAATGTTCTTGCTCTGGGTTGTATTAATAGAGTATTGATTGTACTGGAAACTCCTAACAATGTACAGGGTTAAATAGGCTGCATTTACTGGGAGTTCATATCTGGTGCATGTAAATCTGGGGGTCAGATTGAGTTGTTAAGTTAAAAAGCAGCTCACTCCTCAGGTTGGCCTGGTCCTGAGTGTTGTGGTAAGGTCCTGGCAAGGAACTGGACCAGCTTTGGGGCTGGATCTGGCAGCTCCCACTCTGACATCTTTACAGGGTGCTGTGAAGAAGTCCCTGCATCACTAGGGATGGTTAGGTCTCAGAAATGATGGGTATGGGCTGGCTCTGCTTGTGTCTACAAGTCTGAGATGGGCAATAGGTGCTGGTTGCTGAGAAGTGATGCCTGTTTTAAACTGTCCATGGCTTGAGGGGCTGTGATGTCCTTGAAGTGATAAAGGAAAACAAACCTGTGCCTCAGGATTCTGCCTCTGATGCTCCATGCACTCTCTGTTGGCACAGCTGCGCATTCAGTTCTCCACGGACTTGAGGGTGCAGAAGATGTTTGAAATCCTGCTGGATGAGAACAGTGACAAAGAAAAGCGGGAAAAGGTGAGAACTGTCCTGGACTTGACAGAATTGTTATTCAATGTCAGAGGTTGCTCTGAGGAGCAGGAAAATGCATTCCCTTTCCATCCTGCCCTAGATGGAGGATGAGGAAAGGAGCTGGGAGATGAGCTGTGCTTGGAGAGGGAAGTGTCTCAATGAGGCATCACCCCTGTGCTGAGGGGGAAGGTGAGCTCACCTCCCAGTATACCAAAGGTGGGATCAGACTGGACTTATCAGGCCTATCTCTGCCACCTTCCCCTATGTTCCTCTCCGAGCAGTGACCCACTTTAATGGGGCGGAGTGAAGCCAATCCCCAGATGTACCTGGAGAACTATGTGGTGCTGTCTGAGCTGGTTGTGTCTGTCACTGCGGGATGGCCACCATCCCAGAGCTGCACAGAGATGTTCTGCAGGGCTGTGCCACTGACCCCAGGTCTGTCTCCCCCTCCAGGCTGCAAACAACCTCATAATCCTGGGCCGGGAGGAAGCGGGTGCTGAGAGGATCTTCCAGAACAACGGGGTCAGCCTCCTGCTGCAGCTGATAGAAACCAAAAACCCGGAGCTGGTCCTGGCAGCCGTGAGGACGCTGTCAGAAATGTGCACGGGGCACAAGGCTCGGGTAAGCAGCCTTCACTGCTACTGCCTGGCACCGAGGGGAGTGGAAAACTGCCATGGTTTGATGCTTGTGGGCAAGTAAGACTTGTAACACGATTGAAAATGCCCCTGACCTCTAGGGGTGAAAGCTGTACCTGTTCCCTATGGAGCCTTCATGTGTGCTGGTGAAGTAGAAGTTAGGACAAGGTGGTGAGCGTGGTTGGGTCAAATCCATGTCCTTCATCACAGAAAAGCAACAAAGAACAACTAACTTTAGGAAAGCTTTGTCTAAGGCTTGCGAGCCTAGCAATGCTTTTAACATCCTCTTTGGAAATAGCCTGTTAATTACTGGCAACTCTACATGTTAGTTGTTGTCTTATTGTAGATGAAAATGAGGCTGAAGAGCAGAACTCTGCCTTGTACTGACTTGGGATTCACCCAGGAAAAGAGTTCCTTTGTCCAAGCTGAGCCTAAAGTATGCAGGAAGGAAAGGCTTTTGCTAACAGCTGCCCTGCTTTCTCCTTTCTGGTGCCAGGCCACTGCCATTCTCCATTACTTGGGCATTGACAGCATTTGTATGTGGATGTCTGTGGACAATGAAGAGATCTCCTTGGCTGTCTGCAGCCTCCTGCAAGCCATCACCGACTGCTTGCTGGGCCAGGGGAAAGAGGAGCATCACGGGAAGGAGGAGGCTGTAGTGCTCGGTAACACTGCATGACCTGATGGTTCTGTGGTTGTGCTGTCAAAGTGGGGTGAGCAGAGAGGACTCTGCTCCTGGGATGTCCACCTTATTCCTTGTTCTTTGGGGAAGTGGGGACTTTACCCTCCAGCTGTCCAGGATGACAGCCTGAACGCAGCTCTTATCCTTATGGTGTCAAACACCAATATTCCAGCCACGTAATGCATCTGAATGGTTTTCACCAAGTTTGTCTGCTTTTGAAGATAATGTCTTGTAACTGGCTGCTACTGGCTTGCTTCTGTGTAGATACTAAGAAAGATTTGAGGATGATCACAATGCGTTTGCTGGATATGTTGGTCAGCAAGAAAGTGTCTGGGCAAGGACGAGACAGAGCTCTCAACCTCCTCAACAAGAATATACCAAGGAAGGACCTGAAAGACCATGACAACAGCAGGACCATCTTTGTCATCGACAATGGTGAGTCCTTCCCTTCCTCCCTATTCTGGTCTGGGAGATGTGGAGCTGTGTATTCTTGCCTGAATACCTCTGGAATGGATCCTCTGTAGCTTTCTTTGGTGCATGCAAGCCTGGAGCGAGGTTAGATGTATTAGCAGGTAGCAGTATTAAGGTTAAGAGAGAAAAAAGCTGTGTATGAGAACAAGACCTTTTCAGTTTCTAGAGGACTGGCTTCTCTGGTTCATTTATTCCAACGTATTTGCTAACGTTAGGAGGATTTGGCTTGGATAACTTGCCTATCTTCAGATGAGATGAGCACCTGCTGAGCTTGCTGGATCCTTAAACTGGTCATTTCTAAAACTAGAAGGGGGTAAGAAGTTTGTGTGGGATGTGTTTTTATACTAATTCCAATGCATATGTGTGGTACCATTCTGGAAGGTATTAAATAACACTTCAGCAAAAGGAGGGTTAAGACATGCAGGAGCCCTTGGAAGTCACTGACTTTTCCTTAGTCAGAGCCTCCAGCCTTGGAAGTCAGTAGGTTTAAAGCCTCCTGACAAAAATAACTGATCCAGCCAGGGACCAATGCAGTTTTGCTTATCTCACTCAGAGCTGGATAAAAGCCTGATGCTGCAAACCTGCAATCTCAAGAGCAGAAGCTCTTCCCCAGTAAATATCTGATTGTCTTCTTTAGGACTTACGTGATTAGGCTGCAAAGTAATTGAAAACCATCCAAACTGGCTATTTCACTGCAAGGAACCAACAAGTAGTATCTTGAGCTGTGGACAGACCCCTCCCCTCTAACAGCCATACGACTCCATTGTTTCCAGGCTTAAAAAAGATACTGAAAGTGGTGGGCCAGATTCCTGAGCTGCCTGACTGCCTGCCACTGACAGAGAACACCCAGCTGAGTGCCTCGGTGCTCCTAAATAAGCTCTACGATGACCTGCGCTGCGACCCGGAGCGTGACAACTACCGGGTGATCTGCGAGGAGTACATCAAGTGAGTTGAGCTCAGAGGCACAAGAGTGTGAGGTCTTAAGGCTGTGGTGAAGTACTTGGAGTCCACTTAGATGCCAAACTGAGGACCTGGGAGATAATGACTGGGTTGAGATCCTGCTGGATCCTTCAGCTGGGATCCTACCTGCTGGATCACAGCCTTTGCCTGAGTTTAGGCTCAGCTGTGTCCCATGTACCCACCATCAGAGGAGGTCAGCTCTTGATCTGAGGGAGGATGCTCCCTACTCAAGGGAATTAGAACTTAAGCAACTGCTGTTCCACATGCTATTCCCTCTCTCTGTCCCATGCAGGAGCAAAGTTGACCCACAGGACATGGATAAAACACTCCATGCTATCCAGATGGTGTCTGGAGTTCTGCAAGGGCCCTTTGACTTGGGCAACAAGCTGCTTGGCATGAAGGGAGTCATGGAGATGATGGTGGCCCTGTGTGGGTCCGAGAGAGAGATTGACCAGCTGGTGGCTGTGGAAGCCCTCATCCATGCCTCCACCAAGCTGAGCCGGGCCACCTTCATCATCTCCAATGGGGTGGCGCTCCTGAAGGAGATCTACAAGAAGACCAAGAATGAGAAGATCAAAATCCGAGCCCTGGTGGTAAGGATGGCAGCCCCTGCCACACTCACGAGCTTAAACCCTGGACTTGGGAGAGAGGGAGGACCTGGGAATGTGTTGGATTCATTTCCTTCAGCTGGGAAATAGTTTATGGTGCTTTCCTTACAAGTAAGGGAGAGATTGTAAACCAGGAGAGAACAGGGAATATTGGTAACCTTGGTTCATCTTGCATTACGGACATGCAATAAGAGAACAAAACCTCAGCTTGCTGTGCTACAACCTGAACAGTCTACTGGGTATTTCTTTTACATACTGCTTGCTCTGTTGGAACTGACTTCAAACTTCAGAAATGGGATTAGGCTGTTGGGGGCAGCAATACTAGAGGATTAATGAACCTTTCTCACTGGTGTATCTTCTTCCTGCTCCTCAGGGTCTCTGCAAGCTGGGCTCAGCAGGAGGTACCGATTATGGACTGCGGCAGTTTGCTGAGGGGTCCACTGAGAAGTTAGCCAAGCAGTGCAGGAAGTGAGTGACCTTACTTTGTCCTTCTGTTGCTCTGTACCTTGTAAAATACAGTATGATCCTTTCCCAAGAGATCTTGCTCACATGTTGCCTTCATTTACTGGTGCTGCCTGAGAGCTGACAGGGCCCCCAGAGCCATTGCACTGGGACCTGGAGCTCTTATGGTCTGAAGTAACTGTATGTTCCTCCTGCCTCAGTATCCAGAGAAGCCTTTCTCCCTCGTTGATTTCCTATGAGAGACACCAGACATGGTGCTTCCCTCTTTGCCATAATGGTACAGACTAATTGAGTGCTATCTAGAATATGCACAAGTGTCTTTTGCAGGTGGATGACAGGAGGAGCTGGGATGAAGTTAGGAAGTGACTGAATGGGTGATCATTGCTCCTGACACTGGAGAGCAGGGCATCATGTGTTTGTGTGGTGGTGAAGGCAAAGCAGTGCTGAGTACCTGTCCTGGTCTGTCTTTTCCTGCAGCATTTAGATCCCTCAAGCTGGGCCATGGGAGGAAGGTCATGTCTCGAGGGAAGCATCCCACAGCCTTTAGGAGCTGCAGCAGAACCTGAGGACATGTTTGGGCCTGAAACAGTCTCAATGTTGTTCCTCCCTCTTCTCCTAGAGAAGCTATTCCTGGCTCCTGAGATAGAAACGTGGATGTTTTTCTGTCTTCCAGATGGTTGTGCAACACCAGCATTGATGTCCGCACGAGGAGATGGGCTGTGGAAGGGATGTCATATCTAACCCTTGATGCGGATGTGAAAGATGACTTTGTTGAAGATGGGCCAGCCCTGCAAGCTATGCTTGAATTAGCCAAGGTCTATCTCCTTATTTTGTTTCCTCATTCCTCTAGTAGCATCATGTTCTCCCAGGTTTCCAGCCCAACAGTGTCTCCCCATGCAGAAGGAGCTGTGACCCCAACCTCTCTCCTCTGTCTTAAAACTTCAGCTTAGCCTGTGCAATAGAGACACCTCAAGGCTGTCATCATCCTGCTCCTCTCCCAAGGCTGAGGAAGGTTGCTCTTGCCTTTACTGTCAGCAACGAAAATCAGAGGCATGAAGGTGCTGACAGCGTCTGATGATGTCAACACCCTGTTGGACCATAAAAACATTTGTTTTTCCCTGCCCTGGGCTATAAGGCTGGGGCTAAGCCTA